AATTAAGTAAGTATTCATATACAGAATATATAATTATTTAGTAATTCAGTTACTAAGTTATTATATAATAATATAATATAATAATATATAATAATCTGATATATCAGTAGTATCATAATATGAATATTCTAATTGTTACAAGACATTTATAATTGAAATAGACAATTTGATAAAGTAACATTTATCTGATGTACATTATCGTTGTTTTAAACTACATTCATTCATTCATCTAACAGGTTTACATAACAGGAGTATCTATCCTTTTCATTGATTTCATTAGATAACTAATAGTTTCTAACTATATTTTGTAAGTGATGATAACGCCTTTAATGGTATTCATTAGTTGTTATTAAACACTAATGTATTATATAAATAAATTAAACAATTAAATAATATAATTGTTTGTTTCTATGTAAGTTGTGATAACTTTGTAAGAAAGTATTATGTATACATGTTACTTATAAGTAAATCTACTTATTTAATAGAACAGTATGGAAAGAGAGAATGGAAGTTTACTTAAGTGAATTGAATCATATGAATGTCTACTCATATATATATATATATATATATATATATATATATATATATATATATATATACCCTTGAGAATACGTTACCACTAGACTATCCGGAACACGATCGACCTCCTGTAAAACTGAGATGTATTCACCCTTGATTGATCACTGGGTGGTGATCAATGTCATTTGGGTCAAGTCCTTATTTAGTGCAGATTGGATGCTATCGACTGTGAAGCTAGCTGAAACGAGATCGAAACCATCAGTTCCCTAAAGATTACAGGTACACCTTGCTGATGAGTGCCAAAATAACATGACACATAGATCAAGAGTTTCTCGTTGACTACCTTTAAACACCATTCTATCTCCACCAGGGTTCTTGGTACCTGTGTGGTTGCGCCATAGGATTGAGCTGTACTATTCAGATTGCAGCGTTAAGGCCTGTACGGTGTCTGGTTCCTCTGCTAAACGGGGTTGAGCTGCACTGTTTGGGTTTTTACGTGAAAGTCCGGATGGTGTCTGGTTCTCCTGAAAACCAATGTAAAATTACCCTGGCCCACAAGGGTATATTATATAACTGTGAAGCCCCCAAATGCCCTGGTACGGCCGAGAGTGGGGTGGACCCGCCCTCCCTCTCGAAACGCTCTCATATGGCCACGCGTATATAGCCTCTGCCAGGGAAGTCCTACTCACTGCCTTCTCTCACCACGGGGGTGTTGTTTACGAAAATGAGAGGACGAAAAGCGAATGTTCGGCGCTTTAACCGGATTCCAAACCAATGGTGCACATGGGCTCCAGTATCCTGAGGGAACAAATGGCGTATGAACCAATCGTTGGCAACCGGCTACCATGGGATTGCATCTCCTTACGATGCTCCACTGCCTTGTGGGTTAGACCTTTAGGTCAAAGGCTCGGGGAGTGGCCCCCTAAGATAACCACCTGCTTCGGTTTAGGCACCCGGGCAGTATCACAGCCCTCACACATATCGAATGAGATTTGTGTGGCGCATATGTATTTGGTGCCTCCTTGTACCAATGTCTGTGTTAAAATAAAATAATTAAATCTCAACATAGTGCGCACAATGTCGAGTCACCTAGATCAGTGGTCATATTACAACTTGGTCGATAGTATTCGATCTGCACTAAGATGGACTTGACACACATGACATTGATCACCACCCAGTGATCAATCAATTGTGAATAGCCTTAAGAAAAGTTAAGTATCATTAATGGTGAATCTATAACTAATGGATGACCTTTGAGCGATACTGAAGTGACCTTGAAAATGATCACCTACTGATTAGGACTAAATGAGAGTTATAAAGCAGTTAGAATTCTGAATTACAGTTGATAGTTAGTGTTAGAAATAAAATTTAGAATTTTTATCACGAACTGACATCAGTTATATAGGCAAATGTATGAATAAACTTCACGCCGAAATTCGTGATTCGCCATCTTATATCTGATTGGTTCGTCTATAAATTATAGTCTCGCCTCATTAGTTTGTAGTGACCTACTTTTATCAAGAGAACGCGATTGGCTTAATGGAAACAATTATTATTTTAACCAATCGTACCAGTGATTGTTTTACTGTTGTTGTTTGCTTAACTGTACCAAAATACATACCTTCTTCCGTTGCTTGTGACCTTGCACGGATTCGGTTATGCTCAGTAACCACACTTGTAACCTGGCACGATCTCGGTATTCTTTCGATACAACGAGACCGCCAACAAATACATTTCGACTAGTCATCAACTGCCTTCTGATATTTGGCTTACAGGGGATCTTATCGGTTAACTGGCACGTAGTCTTCCTGTAGTGGTGATCATAATCAACCGCGACTCGACACCACACTACAAGTTTATGTTATATCCCTTAGAAATGAGAGGTATTTCTTGACACAACATAAGTACTTATCATTTGCCAGTTTCTGTTTGGATCAAGGATAATTTCAAAAACGGCAAAACACACTGATATATCCCGCCGAGAATTATGAATGGTAGCTTTTGGAAACCATTTATGGACCAATACCATACATTGATTAATCAACTAAACTATTCATATTCGTGTTCTTCTTATTACAAGCTTTATTTTGATCTATGAACTATCATTATACGATTTACCATTCTTGAGTTAATCCCACTCTATCAATTACTATCTCCCACATTCACAGCCACTTTTGGCTAGATCTCGGTACAAATGTTATTATCTGCTTTATGGTACGATGTGGTTTGTTTATAAACCCAATATGTTTGAAATACATGATTTATATCGCAGAGGCTGAGATTGGTGTTCTGGACTTAACAGGCCGGGCTAGACAGGAAGCAGGACCAATAAAGACTCTAGACTGTTCGTACGGGTATACGCGACATTGGTCTGGTCTATAATTTACTGTTCTCTAACTGGTAGTATCATTAAGTTATATATTAATAAGGAACAAGACAGATATATAACAGCTCTGAAAGTTTAATCTTTTCCAAATATTCACTCCTATATAACATTAGGTCTTTAAAATATGGTTTATTGTTTCCTATGTAAAGAATATGTCGCTGGTAATGCATTACGATATTGAGTCATTTAGACTGGTGGTGATATTGTAACTTGATTAGTGATGAAATTCCATCAATGTGAAGAGCCGGATAAATATGCTATCGATTAAAATCACTGAACGATCAATTAACACAACAATCTGTTGTCAAAATGTTGATGCCTACTGATGCAGAGGCTGTTGCTACACTAGTTGTCTTTATATACATTTGTCCGTGTATATGGAATAGAAGGTTCAGGTCATCTACGAAGTCCAAATCTTCTCATTGATTCTCAGTTGTCCATTTTATCCCGTGCTTTCCCTCAGATGTGGAGGTCTTCGTAATCCAGTTAACCACCAGAAGAAAGAAGAGGGGGAAGTGTAGGCAGCTTTATCTGTCTCCGGTCCTCACTTGGAATGCATATGAGTTGTCCTCCACGCATAACATTGCACTGTAGTATGTCGCATCATTTGGGTATGATGCTGACGATTTTCTCAGGTGTCGAAGAAGTTTTCATAATGTTCTATCCGCACTGTCAAATACTTGCTCTTAATCAAGGAAGTTGATATATGGTGACGAGTTCCATTCTGTTTTAGATTTTGATAATGTTTATATACTTTACTCATTTGCCTTTTTATTAATATCCTTCTTGTTTGCTTGTGAAAAGGTGGTTTGGCTGTTAGAGAGTTCGACCTCCAACCAATAATTTTTAATCCCACTAAACCTACTTGAGTTTGAACAACCGATTAGTATCACTAATCCCCATACTCTAGACGCGGCTCATACCAAGAATAAAGTGACTTAAGGGTTTTATGTTGTAACGGGTGAGTGACTGCAGGGTTTGATACGCAGCGTTATTTATCGACCGCGATCTGTGACAGTGACACGTAAAGACGACCTAGTGCCCTGATTGGCCCTGCTTCGCTGTCTGTCCTAGCCAGTTGAGTCAAGAACACAAGTCACAGCCTCTGGGTTATGAATCATTATATTTCAAACATACTTTGTTTATATACCAATCAAGCATACCACATCGTACCATAAAATAGAAAACAACATTTTGTACAATATTTAACAAGTGAACAAATATCGACCAATAGGAAATGTACATTTAAAGTCCAAGGACACCATTGGACTTAACATGATAATTATTGGTCTCTTTTTCCGACTATCCTAACATTTTAGTACTTCAGAGGTGTAAATCACTAATGTAGAGCGCATCTTGAACATTCTGTCAACAGGGCCTATAATTCTGTTGAATAAGTTTTTTGAGACTGGCCTATGCTTTTTTAAAAATAATAGTTGAATTATCCATCTGCTCTAACTTAAGGTGGGTTATTTAGAGAAAACACAGCTTCTAGATGAGGAAATACCGGGATCTCAAGAAAAAGTGGGCTAGTTCAGGGATGTATACTGTCATCAGTGACAGGAGGAAGTCAACACAAATTTTAAATTAAGCCAGACGGTTGCAATTCGAGAAGGAAACAAAAAGTTACCAAAATTTTCCCAATCTAACTATTATACTATCAGTAAAAGCCTGGAAACACTGGACGACCGTTTCATTCTAGCAAGGAGCACCTCAACAGTGCGCTGAGTAGTCAAAATGTCGGGAGTTCGCGAGCGTGACCGAAGGTCTCAAGTTTGGTCGCCGCATACACGGTCGTGGATACACACTGCTGAGAAGCCCTATACTACGACGAAACGGCCATCCAGTACTTCCACATTACCGACAAGCCTAACATTACTCGACTCATAATTTTAATGAAAATCAACAGTCTCCACAACCCTATACTGTTAACGCTAATAGTTGTAAGTGTGAACTATTGAGAAGTCTTATACTGTGACGAAACAGCTATTCAGTGCTTTCTGATTATCTAGCTGAGATCAGTACGTGACATGAATTGAAAAATCATCAATCTTTATGACATATCCTATACCGGAGATCGAAAGAAAAGTCTAAATTCTGTTGAAAAACATATTTTATGAAAAATAATTTACAGAGATAATTCAACTTTATTGAAGTAAAGCAGAAAAATATCACATATACATATTAGAAGAACAAGGAAGTAAGCTTGCTAGAACTTGACAACCGTTGAGTTTTCTGGTTCAAAGATCACAAAGTAGGACACAGAGAGGTTTGTTTCATTTGAATATGTTGACAGAGAAAAACCCATTTCTTTTGTTTTTCTTCACGATGTAACCACTATTATTTCACGAAGAATTAGACTAATTAATTCACGTTGTTCTAAATTTACAAATGATTGAAGCATAACTGAAAGTGATTCTAATTCTAAAATATCTTTTGATTGATGTGCCAACTAACAGAGAGAACAAAATAAAAACAATAAAGAAAATTGAAATAAATTATGTATTATTTTACGATTATTATTAACATCCTTAATTCATTATTATGTACGGGTTCGTTAACCCGGTTTTGAGTCACACTGAATTAATGACGCATAATATCTGGTTGTCTAGACGGAAGTAGATGACGAGGAATTTGAATCTACAATTGAGTGGCTAAAATTTATATTATCAATTTATTTATTTATTTGAACACATCAATATTGGTAAAAAGTGGCATCGAACACATATGCGCCACAAAAATCACTTGATATGTGTGTGGGCTGTGATACTGTCCAGGTTCCCAGAATGAAGCAGGTGGTTTTCTTACGGGGGCCACATCCGGAACCTTCGACCTAAAAGTTTGATCCACAAGGCAGTGGAGCAACGTCAGGAGATGCAGTCCCATGGTAGCCGGTTACCAACGATTGGTTCATACGCCATCTGTTCCCACATGATACTGGAGCCCATATACACTATTGGTTAAGAATCAGGGTTTTCCAACTCTCTTAGATGGATCTTTCATATCCACCAACCCGGTTAAAGCGCCGGACATTCGCTTCTCTTTTTCTCGATTTCGTAAACAACATCCGTGATGCGAGAAGACAGTGAGTAGGACTTCCCTGGTTGTAGTTGTACGCATGTGGCTATGTGAGAGTATTCGGAGACGGAGAGTTGACTCTCCCCACCCTTGGCCGTACCAGGACTCATTATAACACTTTCATTTACCAACATAGAGATTTCTTTTCGCTAAAGTTTATATTAGAATTTACAAGTGTGATTTATTGTACTAGAGAAGAATATGGTCAGGAAGGTTTAAACAAGAAAAAAAACATTTGATCTAAAGGGATTAAGCAGATTGAACAGTTAATAGAAAACGACTTATCAACTTTGACACAACCACATTTAATAAAGAAGAGAAGACTCATCTTTAAAACAGATTTTTCAGACGTTGAAGAAAAGCAATAGAATGGGCATATAGCACTCTATAAATAGTATTTGCATGATTTTGAGGAATGAACATTAAATCCATTTATTGAGTGATCGAATTGAATGGGAATAGCCAATAAGAGGACTGATCAACGATAGAAGGTTTTCAATTTAGCTTTGTGATGTTTAATTGGCATTAAAAAGTAACAATCTAGAATTATACTGATGTAAACTTTTTGGATAGTAACGACAATACTTGAACAAAAAAGTGAAGCATCCAAAATGTATTATGTACAGAAAAAACACTAACTAAATATCTAGAGGGATAAGTAGTAAATGAACCTAAGCCCATGTAACTAATTCTAAGTCTTATTGTTTAAAGTCTGCAACCATTGAGTACGGTTGTTGTGAGGGTATCAACTAAGTAGTTGAGAAAAACACTATAACCTATGAGAGTTGCTTTTTTAAACTTTGTTCATTGTACTACTGAATGTCAAAATGTTAAGATAATAAAAAAGTAGATATTTACCAATATTACGAAAGATAACAGGGAAAGTGAAACTACAGTCTCATTTACTAGTTAATAATAGAATTCTTTCGTAAGTAACAATAGCACTGGAACTAGATGAAAAAAGCAGACAAGTATTCGGATTATGATAGTATCGTGACTCGAAAAAAAGTATATGATTGGCGTCTGTTGGGTTATCTTACGACTTCTTGATTGAAGTTCTAGAGATGGTGCAACTCATCGGCTTGAGATGTTATTAGAAATGATATAGAATAGGGGGCACTGTTGATCCTGTCGATGTTTTCACTTACACTCTCCTTAAAATATAGATGAATTTATTTAACTGAAAGAATAGTATTTTTATCTACACTTTATCAATCATTACATTCTATAGTTGTTTTGATTGCATTCCCATTACCTATTTTTATCCTAACATGACGATATCCATTCTTACTTTTGCAGTGTTTTCTACTTCTAGTGCCCGATAGTATCAGGTTTTACGTGAATTTAAAAAAATGTCAACATTTCCACAGTTGAACTAATGAGTCAATCTAAGCAAGACCACCATTGAAAATCCGAAATCCCTGGAATGGCATTTCGACCTAGTATGTGACTCCTCAGAAGTGCACACTCACGATCTCGCATGCTAGACTCAAACACAGGACCTTCAGTCTCACGCGTGGACATTTAAACTCCAAACCATTGAGCCGGTATCCAACAATGTCAATGTCTAATTTTAATTGACCCATGATATTTCGCAACCTTTCATTCATTATCTGAGGTAGATAACAGTCTCCACTCGACACAGACTGAACTCCACTGATTATGACTTCCAATTATCGACTTAGAATACGCAGATGACATAGTCCTGTTTGGTGAAGACGCTGATAAAATGCAAAGTCTTTTGGTAGCACTAAACAACAATAACAGGATGTTTGGAATGCGCTTCTTTCCCTCTTAATGCAAGTTGTTGCCTCAGGACTGGTATGCGTCAACACCTGAACTAAGAATAGGGAGTGAAGTAGTCGAACGCGTCGACAACTTCACTTATCTTGGAAGTCTGATAAACCCTAATGGGTTTGTGTCTGACGAAATCTCTGCATCAATTCAGTAAAGCTCGTTTGGCGTTTGTCAACTTACGTGACATATGGCGAAGGCGAGATATCCGTCTATCAAATAAAAAACGAGTATACTGCGTGGCAGTTCGTTGTGTTCTATTTGACGGCTGGGAAACATGACCATTAAAAGTAGAGGATACTTGTAAGTTACTAGTATTTGATTACAAATATCTTAGAAATATTGCTAGCATGTGTTAGAATTACCGGGTAGGTAATAGTGAGGTCAGACTCAGGGTATCAGGGAATGATGATGGTAAATCAGTTGATGAAGTTATAAATCTTCATCGACTGAGATGGTTGTGTCACGTGTTACGTATGCCTGAACACCGATTACCACGACGCTCAATGCTGACTAGTGTTGTGGATGGTTGGAATAGGGTTAGGGGCGGCCAAACCAGCCAAAACGTGACATCAGTCCACAAAGCCACTAACTTCTGGTATGAGCCATGTTGGTAGATGCAGACTAATTGATTGATGTCCACGTGACTATCGTAACCAATAGTTGGAGACTCTTGGTGACATGGCTCAGAATCGATCACAATGGCGTCAGTGTATACACTCTATGTCTTCCCTTAAACTTTCTTTCTACCAACTAATTCTTTCGTCCTGTACTATATCCATTCTTATATGCAATCTTTCTTTTATATATTACCGCCACTGAATTAACTACTTCTATGAATCCGGTGTTCATCTTGCTGTGCTAATGCGGTATGGCAACTTGGATCGATGTATATATGTGCCTAGTGCTACGTTGTAGCTGACTGACTGTGAAAATACTACAATGTTTGCAAAACCTCATACTAAAAATTGTCAATAATTATTTTTATGATTATTAAAACATTCATATTATTAATGAATAGTATAATATATATATAGTATTAATTGACTTACCACAAAAGACTGTAATAGAATAAATAAATTATTATCCATATAAACAGAATTCAATGTAGATAATTTGAATAAATCTTCAACTTTTTCATCAGTTACAATAATATCATATTGTTTTAAAGAATAATCCGATGAATCAAGATTATGTAATCTATAGGAAGGCTATAAATAATGATTATTATTATTATTATTATTATTATTATTATTATTATTATTAGTCATCGAGTAATAAAGAAGAAATCATAACTGAAATGGAACATACCATACATAGAAGTATAAGTAATACACGAAATATTTCAGATATACTCCAATATTGTATATATAGATCAAATGAATTCAATGCTAATAATATAGATATATTGGGATTGAATAGGGAATTATATATGTAAACTTACTCAATTCTTTTTTTGTTAAATTTTGTATACATATAAAAGTATACAATGCACCAGGCCAATCATCTATTCAAATAAAAGAGAATACATAATTTATATATATATATATATAATAAGATAACTTACGTATATATAATTGACAATAACTTAAACGTTTATATAATTCTAAACTTAATAGTACATCTTTGGATACAATTTCTATAGATCGTTTTATATAAGGTATAGATTGATGAAATTTACATCGTCTCTATGAGAGAAACAAAAAAAAAGAGAAAAAAAACAAACAATGATAGTTCAATCAAGAAAAACTTCTTTCTGTGAAACTGTCTTTGTAGTTATATGGAGAGATTATCATTTATGAAGAAACCAATCACATTTAAAATAACAAATCTTGAATTTTAGCGCGTTAATTTAATTCACTCATTTGATTGAATACCATAGTTAGCAGTATTATAGCTGATGTACAATTCGTGATGAAAATCATAAATCTTATTCCTAACTTTAACATTCAACTGTAAATCTTAATCTTTATTCTTCAAACTAATATAATAACTCTCATTTAAATTTGGTAAACAGTGGTTCGAAATTCTAAGATCATTTTAGGGTCAGTAAAAGGTCGTCCATGAATTATAATTTTACCAGTTATTTGATAAATTATACGTGAGTTTATAAGAAGAAGGGAAATATGAAATAATCAGTAGCTCAATACAAGAGCACTTAGACTATTTCAATTCAAATAAATGGTCTATCAAAATAATCTACACAGTAAAACAAAATTATCCACTGTAAGCAAAGATGGATAGTGGCTAGCAGTGGAATCCAGGACGCGCGTTTCGTCCTGTTTGGGACTCGTCAGCTGGATTAAACTTCAACCCATTGCACAAGCAAATGGCTATCAGGACTCAGTAGCTAAGTGGATAACGCGATGGCGTTTGAAGCGAACGGTACTGAGTTCGAGTCCCAGAGTGAACATCAACTCTGAGATGCAGGTACATCCGGCTGACGAGTCCCAAACAGGACGAAACGCGCGTCCTGGATTCCACTGCTAGCCACTATCCATCTTTGCTTACAATGCTTGTAAATTAAGGCAATATCGAGGCATACGCACAGTATGCACATATGCCAATAAGAGACTGATCAATTTCAGTCCAAAAACATCAATGGGAAGATTCAAATAAAACAATATCAAGTGAATTAAAATTATGCACTGTTGAAATGTTTGCAATTAATTTATCATTTCTAGCCTGAACTATGTGTGCAAAAAAGTAATACGTGTAATTTTCCATCCTTTCATAACCCTAATATCTTTTTCCAGTATGTTTTGAGTTTATTATTATTTCTACTATTATTTAATACTTTTAAACCCTCAAATGCCTTGATACGGCCGAGTGAGGAGAGTCAGCTCTGCCTCTCGAAATGCTCTCACATGGCCACATGCATACAACTACTACCAGGGAAGTCCTACTCACTGTCTTCTCGCACCACGGGTGTTGTTTACGAAATTGAGAGAACGAGAAGCGAATGTTCGGAGCTTTAACCGGGTTGGTGGATATGAAGGATCTATCTAGGAGAGTTGAAAAACCCTGATTCTTAACCAATAGTGCATATAGGTTCCAGTATCACGAAGGAACAAATGGGGTATGAACCTATTGTTGGTCACCGGCTACCATGGGACTGCATCTCCTGACGTTGCTCCACTGCCTTGTGGATCAAACTTTTAGGTCGAAGGTTCCGGATGTGGCCCCCTAAGAAAACCACCTGTTTTGTTCTAGGCATCCGGACAGTATCACAGCCCTCACATAAATCGACTGATTTATGTGGCGTAAACATATTTGGTGCCTCCTTGTACCAATGCTTATTTGTTTAAATAATAATAAATAGCGCTTTTCTAAATCATGATCAGTTATTATTGATCCATTAACAAGATTTTTCATGATTCAATTGTCTAAATGACGTTTAGGTTTTCCACTTTTTTCTTAAGTCAATAATTATTTATCATATTCCTGACCGGTAGATTATTCTCATTCCTTACAATTACGCGATCTTCTTTGGACATTTGAAAGCTCGGGTCACTTTATAATATAATTATTCTTTTTATTTACCATTAGACTGACATATTCTTTCAAACTGTAAAAAACAAACGTACATTCAGCATAAGTAAACGATTTCATCGAAAAGAAAAATTCCTTTGCTGAACTTGCTCTATTTCCATCGAATGATACTTAGTGGCCCGAAATCTGACTTCAGTTACATTGGATGTGTGCTCGTTATCGAATGATTGTTGTCGAAATATACATGTCGCCAATCCTCGTATATAATTATTGACTTAACTCGCGTTGATGAACATCGGAATTAAGTGAGTTGAATACGACAATTAGGTATAAGTATATTTCCTACACCCATTGATATGAACAGATAATCAGGGAAACGAAACGAAGGGAACAAAAAGAACAGAGTGAAACGAGACGGATGGTGGATTGCATGTGAGTCAATTCAATGTAACCAAGCGTGAATCGATATTTATAGTCAGAGAAAAATCAGTTACAGAAACATAATGAGTAGGGTAAGCAATTAGCACACATACGACCACATAAAAAACAGTCAGGACTAATAAGCGAAGGTAAAAATGTGGCTTGAGAAGAACGAACAGACTGACTGGTCCAGAAACTGGAATAGCCTATGCGAGTTTGACACAGGGTCAGCCATTACAGTTACAATGGGTTACTTGATTTATTTCAAGTTTAGTTGGAAAGAAAAACAAAACAAAAAAAGAATTACCATTAACGTATCCACCAGATAAATGTAAACGTTTGTCGCTAATGTGAAGAGTTCATTCAATTCATAGATCTATTGTATGCGTATATGTTGAAGGTAATGAAATAGTTTACTCTTGCTGCTCTTAATAAACAAAGAATCGCGCAATTTAAATTATCCTCATAATTAATAGAATTAGTTGAAACCAATTTATCATCAGCTTGTATAAAATATTTTGCAGCTGTAAATAATGTTGATGCTTCAGAAGTCAGATTTTTAGCAGCGAATTCACATCTGAAGAAAGCAAACAGAATTCACTTACCCTCTGAATATATATATATATATATATATATATATATATATATATATATATATATATATATATAGGTTAAACTAATTATTACGCGGTTATTATAAGGGGACCGACTTACTTTTATACAATCTGTAATGAACAGAGATTGAGACCAATCATATGAGATTACGTTCAGTTCTCAGTCAACAACATGGGCACCGCCACTAGGGATCTCAGAAGTTAGTCCCAAGGCCATCCCTCGCTTCAGGCTACACATGAGGATTGCAACCTCCGCATGGGTTGCGACAATTGTGTCAAATTATCCTTCAGGTTGTTTAAAGACAGAAAGTAACTGTAGCACAGCTAGAAGCCTGTTGTACTGACCCTAATATTCTAATCACAGATCTGTTTCTAAAATATTCTCACAAACAAGTGGTTTTATATGTTTGTTTGCTCCATGACCCCCAAATGCCCTAGTTCAGTCGAGGGTCAGGGGAGCTTGTTCTCTAAATGCTATCAAATGACCACACGTATACAGCTACTATCAGGGAAGTCCTAATTACTGCCTCCTTTCAACGGTGTTTTTTACAAAATTGAGAGCACGAAAAGAGAATGTCCTGCAGGGGCTTGCAATAGGTTAGTGAATCTGTCTAGGGGAGTTGGAAAACCCTGGTTCCAAACCAATAGTGCACATGTGGCTCTAGGATCCTGAAGGAACAAATGGCGTATGAACCTATTATTGGTCACCGGCTACCATGGGACTGATTCTCCTAACGTTGCTCAACTGTTTTGTGGAATAGAATATTGGCATGAGTAAAACGTGGCCTAACCGTCTCAGTCTATGAACATTCACAACCCGTCAGCTGATTTACCATCATCACTCTCTAATATCCTGCGTCTAACCTTAATATATATTACTGACCCGGTGATTCTAACACATGCTAGCAATATCTCTAAGATATTTGTAATCAAATACTAGTAACTTACGAGTATCTTCTACCCTTAATGGTCACGTATCCCAGCCGTCAAGTAGAACAGAACGAACTGCTGCTCAGTATACACGTCATTCAATTGATGGACTGATATCTCACATTCAACATAGTCACGTAATTTATCAAAAGCCAAACGAGCTTTCCGAATCCATACAGAGATTTCGTCAAACACCAACCCATTAGGACTGAACAAACTTCCAAGGTTAGTGTTGTCTATATGTTTGACTACTTCAATCTCGATCCTTAGTTCAGGTGTTGACACAGGCCAGTCCCGAAGCAACAATTCGCATTTAGAACGTATCCCAAACATCCTGGTATTGTTGTTCAGTGCTACAAAGAGGCTTTGCATTTTATCAGCGTCTTCACAAAACAGGAATATGCTATCTGTATATTCTAAGTCGATAAGTGGACCTCCTGGTGGATCAGTACCTGGAAATTTAGACAATAGGAACGTATTCCCACTAGTAGGTCTATGATGAAATTAAACGAAAATGGGGAGAGTGGGAAGCCATGCCAGGCACCATTTGAAGTTGTTAAATCAGATGACAGTTCGCTATAAGCTCTGACTCGACTGGAAGTGTTCGAATAATGAGCCCTCACAAGATTTATGTACTTCTGAGGTGCGCCTTTCAACGAGTCACACAACCTTCAGTCTACAGAGTGGAGCTGTCATCTGATACTCGACTGACTAAACTAAACCTATTTCCATTGTCAAATAGAATAACCAGAAGTGACTTAAACGCATTAAAAGAAACTAATTAGTGATAAATTTGCACCTGATGTGACCTAATTTTTCTTGTCTTCCAATCTTGATAATTTATGAGGGCTCAAATGTCTCATGTGACATGAAAAAGTATTAAGGATTATAGTCAGGCTTTATTATCTGAAGGCAAAACTTTTCAGATATTTGACCGAGGGACTAAGCAAAGATAAGTATGTGCCCGTTAATTAATTGTGTGATATACGAGAATAGTGAACCTACTTTGCTTTGCCCAGTAAAAAGACTGCCGCTAACTCATGACATTCTTGGACGGCCAAACTTTTCGCTACACTAGCTGGTTGCACGAAGAAATCAACGATTACATATATTTTTGTTACCATAGTCAGTAGCCTGTTCGTCACACTTATTTATCTCGCTTAATTTCCTTGAACGGAATTTTATAACATAATAAGCAAAGAGTACTTCTTAACATCAATGCTAAGAGCTTTGTAGATTTGAGGATAATTCAGAGAAGGATCCATAACTCGCGCTACTAATTTCGTCAATGCCCAATATCTGCATAATATCAGTACAATGAATTGTGTATAAAGTAGAAGCCTCTTGTGTTCAGAGACAATAAATCAACCATGGTTGTTTACAAGTATGGGCCAAAAGATTTCAAAAGTCGTGTCACATGTGACTGGTACAAATGACAGCCTTATGGTTCTCTTATACTGTAGGGTCAGTGAAATGTCACTGAGCCCTACCAAATCATCCGGCAGTTGGATCACTGAATGTCGAACAGATCATCGCTCCCTGCCAAGGTCATGTACAAGCAACGCGCATTAGTTAATGATACGCCATGGACTGGCCCATGCGGCAGTGGTCTTACTTTCGCTTGTATCTACTTTAACTAATATATTTCTGTAATAACGTCCTTTGTGTTGTACAGTCTTCAAAGCATCTATAGTACCTTGTTACGTCAATGGGGGTAGTCCACGTAAGGTGCTGACCACGAGGTGTGACTTCGACGTTAGTTGGTTCGTCACACTATTCACGTCTAACTCGAGTCGGCCTCCAATCATTTCGACATAGATCATCTACGTTGGTGACCTACAATACATTACACACGATTGAAGAATGCATCAGGCTCCCTGTAAATCCATTTACCGAGACCATAGGGTCTACAGTGCTACTGTTACAAAACGATAAGACACTTATAACTTTTTTAGTCTTAACAAAATGCTGTCTCATCTGTTTCTGACATATTTGTGTTCCATATGTTTTGTTTTTATGTGATAACTCTACAATATATCTTTGTTCATGTCAGATACTTAGTTTCACTGTGTTTGCTGCTTCAGGGCAACTAAACTGAAATTTCATCGTTCACCATAGTTTGGTCACGGTATTGGCTATAAATCATGTATTGTGTGAATTTCAGGTTGTCTGTTCACTTTGCGCTACTGTCGGGTCTTGTTGTACTAGGAGCATTGTGCGCCGTTTAGCGCCAATTAGGCCGTAAGGATAGAGTTTTTTGTGATAGCTTACATCATTGCATAAGCTTTTGACTCAGGGCTACGACATCATCCAATTAATGATTATGTGCTGAAGCTGCCACAGGTATTCAGAGTTTGTCAGCACTTTAACCAGTAGCACCTGATATTATTCATACCCACCAAGTGAAATCAAAAGACAGGTGTGGGGAGGTTTGAAGATATATTTGATAGACAATCAATATACCGAGGATCGTCTGATCTAACCTGGTTAGCGACTGCCGGGTTTGTTGTGCGCGGCGTTCCCACTCGTGGTCTAGCTGGGATACACACCGAGCGCCTTCAGCTAGGGGAGTCCATTAAACTAATGTGGTCAGCAACTTATGTCGAAACCTTACAGAGCTATTTATTTTGGGAATTTATTTAACGATACAGATCACTCACCCCCCCAGTGAGGTAGTGATGGCCCTAAGACTTGGCCAGCCAGAAGTTTAAACCTGACGAAATTGTCGTTGGTAAACGTTCTTCTGATAGCCTGCTAGGTTCACCAGCGTTTGGTCTTCTTTCCTCACCATAAAGGGCCATGAAGTACAATATAGCAAAAAAAGAAAAATTAAAATTAAAATTTCGGTTCCTCGTAAACTTCATCGTTCTTTCTATCTTCGTTTGCAGCCGTCCTGGAAAAGAAAAGAAATATGTAAGTGCATTTCAAAATAGACATGTACGCACGTAAAAACACAAATGGGGTGAAAAAACGGTCAATAGCGTAAAAAGGAATTTTTACCATATGATTTTTTGTTTGTTTGTTTTCGGAATTAAAAATAAACATATAAGCATATTAAAATTGTTTTTTTATATTACATATAGTACAAAGAAAAATCGAGATGATATAAAATGTAAACTAGTATTTTGCGTGCAACAATCGTTCAAATGTTCTGAAAACCTAATTTTTCTTCCAGAACGCTTTGTTTTAAATTTATTTTCTGGTACTGCCGAAGAATCATCGTGCGTATTAGCTGTCGCTTGACGTATTGTAAGTGTAGGATTCGTACCGTTCGATGATGCCGAAGGAAAATCGACGTGATCAGGATTTCCTACCAAATAAGCTGCTCTGGGACGATCGATGCTGACGCTATCGTTGTTTGTTGACGATAACTCGTGCTGAAGATCAATCTCTTCTTTTTGAAGCTGGAAGAGTTTAAAAAGGTCGATTCTTCGGGAACTGTTCAGGAAAGTTATTCGAGACAGGGCGTCCGCGACTATATCGTTTGCTCCAGAAGAGCGTTGAATATCTGAAGTAAACTGCGAAATGTAGTCCAGTTGTCGAGACTCACTTCGTGAATACTTGTCTGAAGAGTGACTTAAAGAGAAAGTAATAGGTTTATGGTCAGTAAAAAGAGCTGATTTAAGGCCTTCGATATAATGTTGAAAATGTCGTCCAACACAATTCATAGCTAGGAGTTCCCGACCGAAAGTGCTATAACTCGATTCAGTGTCTAGCAACCGTCTAGAAAAAAATGCCAAAGGTTGCCAGCGGTGGTCAACCCATTGTTGTAAAACTACTTCGATTGCTGGGTTGGATGCGTCTACTGCGCTATTAATGGGTGCTTCAGTGTCCTGATGTGCAAGCACTGTTGCTTTAGTGATCTGTTCCTTAATTGTAAAGGATGCTCTTTGCGGAGTGTCGTCTAGATTGATGGATTTCGCATTTCCACGAAGTTGGTCGGTTAGCGGTTTCATAAGTGACGCGCACTTAGGTATGAACCGTCGACAGAAACTTACAAGGCCGTTGAACGTGTGTAATTGCTTAATGGTGGTCGGTTCTGGGTAATCCAGAATTGCCGCCACTTTGGTTCTAAGGGGTTGGATTTCCTGTTGAGTCAGTTTCCATTTTGTATTTCTGAATGTTTACAGTAATGCCATGTCTTCGTAGTCGGTCGAATACAAGTATATCCGTCCGCTAGCCCTCGTTTTCGCGTATAGATGATTAGATTGTGGTGTTGTAAGAGGTCTATCCCAGTGATTGGCATAGAAACATCTGCAACAACAAAAATCTAGTGTATGGGTTTGGGTAAATCCACGTTAAGGTAAACGTACCTTTTATCATACGTGGTCATGGGCTTTCCGTTTGCCCGCTGTAGATTTAAAACCGATTAGTGAAGACAGTCGTTAGAATTCTATAGGACAACGCTAACTTCTGCTCCAGTGGTGAACTCTCGCTGTCACATCTGTGACGTACAACAGACGGCTATGTTCGCCGGCGACGGTCGCCATTAACGCGTGTCGGCTTAGAAGTTTTCCGAGTTGTTTTTCGTGTCGGTCGGTTTTGATTTGGGAAAAGTGCAGGGTTTTCTGAAATTTCTGGAGGACTTTCCATACTGGTTATCTCACCAGCACCGGTCGTGGTTATGAGCCTCTCGTGGTCCAGAGACAGATCGTCTACGTGAAGTGCTTCTTCGCGAAGTGTGTGACCGCTTACGGTCGTTACGAAACTTAAGATAACGTGTAAGTGTATGACATAACACTGTTATGTCATCCAGGGTCGTTTGGGGCTTTTCTTCGACAGAAAAAACCTCGTCATTAGAAAATTTCGTGATTTCTAGAATGCGGTCGGCAGATGCAGCCAGCTCGTCTAAGGTGTGGTTTTGAAACAAGACCAGCACAGCTTGCACCCGTTTAGGAAGTTTGGATAAGAAAAGTTGTTTGAATAGGCCATCAACGAAGGTTCTTTGACCGATAACCCCTTTAATTCTTTGCAACATGTCTGTCGCAGAGCCGTGTTGCAGTTCGATGTTATTGAGGAGTTGGTCTAACCTTTGTTGACAGTGTGTGGTCTCCGCGTATAAAGATAGATCGTTTAAGTGTTACGTTGGGTTCAGAAACATCACTAGTAAATATTCTAGGTTTTAAGTAGCTGTTGAATTCACGCAGCAGCACCTTGACTGCTGCGGGGAATTTCGTTTCGATCACGTCGTGCTCGGAGAAGTCGGCGCCTACCTGGCAAAACCAGGCTTCTATGTTGTCTGGCCAGAAAGGCATGAGTTGGGACGAAGGTGGGAGCATAGTCTTAAGCTTAAGTACTTTGAGTGTCTGTTCAGTCATGGTCAAATATGAAGTACAAGAATGAACGAGGGAAATATATATGTATATATATCCAAAAACACGAAAAATTTCACAATGTATAAAAAATTAAAATAAGGCTATGATATATAGTATTCCAAAAAGGAACAAACAGTTTGCAATGTGGTGCACTTTAATAAAGGTGTAATTTAATGAAGCTTTTATGTTTCGAAGCTAATCATCGACAGGATCACTAACCATGTTGAGTTAATGTCTAGTGCGATATAAGTACATAGATATCTGTTGCTATAATTCTAGACTTGATCCAAAAATTGAAGATTAGTCTTGATGTGACGACTCAACCTATAGGATCTAACATGGACGTTACATCATTGTCTATACTGACTCGTCCTAGTGTGACAATCACCAATATAACGTCTAGCACCTCTGAAGAACATTCTCAGCAACTGATTGAATAATATACCTGATATGAACAGGAATGCGTTACACTAAATGACTAAGTTCACAATGCCAAGCCACGCCACAACGATCCTTTTTTCCCAATGTCCAGCACTTAATCCGTGTTAATTGTTCAATGAGGACCACTTCAGGATTTCTGTGCTTGGCTTTGAGGATCATTTGGCTGAGAAACAATAGCACTACAAACTCTTTTGATGCAGTATGTTGAAGAGGAAAAATATTTTTTCAAATAACATCTGACAGCGAAAGAAGAAGAATTCCATTTGTTCTCTATGATCTTCCAAATACAGCAGAGCTAAGTTTTAAACCTGTTCTTGGAATCATCGACCAGTTTCTTCACATAAGTTGACCTAACTTTGAATATCAACATTTCACATGTGTTTTCAGTCTTGTCGAAACCTGGTCTGAACAGTTTAGATCCGTTAAAACCGAATGACTTCTGAAGGCATTTCAAATTGGTATTATTCACAAACAACTTATGGGTACATAAGTAGTGTGAAGAAACGATTTTGAATTTCATCAGAAACGCAATAATACA